TCAATAAAGAAATTCATTTCTTGAATTTGATAAAATTGTAGGCACCCTCCATTTATTAGATCTTGACCTTAATACTTACTAGTTAGGAAAAATGGCAATCTTGTGTATTAATGAAAAATATCAAAACTATAATCCAGAAAAATAATTATATTCAGAGTAGAAATTTTAGAAAGTAAACCCCTTCACAAGTATCGTCATTCCATGCTAAGTGTTGTGTACAGAGTTAAGCAAATGATCACACCCGTGTAACGTACACAGTTTTTGTAAACAGGGCATGAGCTCTAGCTGTCATTGTTGATGTTTACGATTCACCGGGTGCGTTCAATTGTTAAGGTCTGCTCACCACAACTGCATGGACTGACAAAATACTGTGTGTATGTTTTGCTGTTGAACATTTCTACTCTGAATTTTCTGGATTATAGTTTTTAATATTTTTCATTTATACACACCAAGATTGCTACTTTTCCTAAGTATTAAGAATGAAATTAAACTTTGTGGAAGTACAAGGATGTGTCAATAAAACCTGTCTAAAAATTTGAAGTTTTAATAACTTTCAGATGAAATAAGATTTTTAATATATTTTTGTGTGAAATGCTATTAAAATAATTATATAAGTCGTAATATTATACAGAAAATATTAACTTCAAATCTGTGTCGATGCACCTTTAAGAACAGCAAAGGCAATGACATGATTAGTCAAATAATACCAAAGCATTTCTATATACTATAAGTTGGCTTCAAATTTTTTACTTATTTTCAAATCAGGACCAATGGTAGATTTGAGCCATGAAATGTCCCAGGTAATCCAAATTTTACATAGAAATAGTTGAGGGGTGGGGTGGGGTGGGGAGTGTGCTGCTGAAGATCTGATAGCAGGGTCATACTGACCCAGATAAGCATTGTGGCCCATGGGCCTTTTATTGTAGTCATGAAAAATAAATTTTAGCAAAAAAAAAAATAGAGGTAAATAAATGGTTGATATTTGAAGATGCACGTTAACCCATCACTGTGGTTTTATTGTTTTCATTTATAAACTTTCTTCCTTCCTCTTCATCCGGACTAAACTAACCCCAATCTTGCAGTTCATTGTGTCTGTTAGTCTATACAACAACTTTAAATAACCTCAAAAGGAAATCATTTTATCTTTAAAATTGTTCACAGACGGTATAGATACTGCGTGTAAATTTCAGTCTGGAAACAGGGAAATAACACTGATATAATAACATATTATAAGTACTTGTCTAAGGGTAACTTGTATCTGTAAACAGCTGTGCCAGAGTGGCAGTCGTATTTAAGTTCAGCGATAAAATGCTCTATCTATAGGAGAAATTTTCAGAATGTCTAGGAAATGAAAATCTTTAAAAATAATACCCCCCCCCCCCCCCACAAAAGCATGTTTCTTATATAGAACAATAGAATGGAGAAAGAATGAGATTGATTCTTAAAATCTGAGCTGAAGGTTAATTGTTTATGGTTAATTCTTCTATCAACAACTTGTTAACTTTGTCCAAGATTCAAGCCCCTGCACAGGGCTTACATGTACATGTATTTGGTTGTACAGTATTCTAAAAAGGCATTCTTTGAAGGTCACGATCCCTCTCCTAGCTCAACATAAACAATGAGAAAATTATGATGAATTTGAATTTGAATTTTGTTTAACTAATCCAATTTGCACTTAAAGCATAAACCTTTGAAATATGCAATAAGCCAATTTGAAGATCATTACTTGTAGAAATTTGCTGGTATGGATACTGCAGTATACGATTTTTCCCCCATGGGGAAGGTATCCACATCAAAATATTAACAAGTGTCAGACTTTTCACGACAAGCCAAATAAGAAATTACTAGTATCTGTCGATCTTTTTCAGATACATGACTCTCTTTACCATTTTAAGAAGTCGGACACAAGATCAATTCATTCAGTTTATTACTTAACAATTAAAAAAAAAAACTGAAAATTTCACACCTCGATATTTTCACACAATTTTCATGAATTAAAGTGAAAAAAGAAATAGTTATAATGGAAAAAATAATATTATAAGGACGCAGAATTAAGACTTACAGTCGTAGGGTTGGGCTCTTAATAAAAATGAATATGTAATCATAAAATATTTTATGCCCGTCGACATATCGCAACGGAAAAATCAGAATTTTGTTTATATAATAACGTGAACAAATATACACAGGATCCGTTAATTGTTGCTGTCCTGGCCCCAAGACCGTAAACCAAAAACAGACTTATATTTTGATTTTTTTTTTTAAATATCTTGAGTTTTATTTAACGTATTTGCTTAAAAATTTGCAATTTTGTTGAAAATTTAAATTTAGAAATATGATGAAAACTTCGTTTCATTATCAATATAATTGCAAAAGTTATATTGATTTGAAATTTTGACTTGGTCTGTTCCCAGGGTCTGGTCTTGGGGCCTGCATAGTTCCGGTCCCGCCGCCCAATTCGTTCACTCCACAGCCTGGGGGAGGGAGGGGGCTCGATCTGTGGCCCAAGGGTGTCCTCTCTACTACACACTGGGGGCACTTGATGACATTTTACAACATTAATATCACATGTGGGTATAACATGTACCTGTATACATTTATAGTATATAAGTCTTGTCTTTATACATGTCATGCTTTCAATAACAGCCTTTCAGAGACCATTCACGCCCAACTCGCCCTATAAGTTGATAAAATTTTTCTCAAAAAATATCTTTTTAAAAATATTTATCAAATGATACTTTCTATCTATTAATCAATTAAATTGCAACAAACTTTTATAATAAACAGTTTAACTAAAAAGGACAGAAAATGGTTTTGTGATACTCTCATTTCAGTTAAGAATGAGTGCATGTTTTTCTCCATGGACATAACTAAGAATTCGATACCCGCAAATAACACCATTTTATGTCCAGTATACCGTATACATTAACCTATATTAGCGTATCATATGATTCTATATATGTCAAGTTTCTTTTTAATATAATTCATGCGTGACCATAAACTATCAGACAGAATCTTTCAGTGAAAAAATGCCTGCATTCCTAATGAGAACCTTAAGATTGACCAACATCTGATTTTAAGGCAAGTTGCGATGTATTTTTATAATATATTATTATCTTTACTAGTCAACAAAATCTCTTTCTGCAAAAAACCTGCATGAACTATCAGACTGATTTGCTTATTTACATGTCGCTTCCGGGTGGCTGCTTGTCCATACTAACATACAGGTATATAATATTATTTGAAATGAGTGCATATTTATGCATGCATACAAATAAATGAACACAAACATCACACAAAACCCAAAATTCAAGACATTTCAATTCAGAGCATGATGAACCGTGTTTGAGTTCACATTATACATACTAGTAGTGTTCACAGGGAAGAGACTGTGTATCGTTTTGGATCAATAATACACAGAAACTTAGTCATATGTATCATTCATATGATTACCCTTGGCACATTTTAAAAAAGATCTTAAAATAAAATCAAAAGAACTTAGAATGTAAACACCGATACCCCCATATGACAGTTTTTGGCGAGGCTAAAGTTCCTCAAATGCAAGTCAAACTCCAAAGTCAAGAGATGAGAAATATTGTTACCCATTAAGAGAGGATTTGTCTCAAAAATTGTATTTGTGAATAATGAAAGCCCAAACAAACATTAACCATTCAAAAATTATAGCCAATATTAAACTTTTTAACACATATATCAAACTCTAAAATCAAGGTCAAAGGGTCAAATTTATGGAACCAGGAGAAGACCTTCTCATAAAATTGAACTTGTTCAATATAAATGCCCTTGCACCAACTGTCCAACAGTTTTGACCAAGGTTGAATTTTTCAGAAGAAGTCAAACTACGAGGTAAAGGTAAGAAAGCAGGCATCCGAAAAAGGTCACAAGGAATACATCGGCACTAGTACCAAATGTTCAAAAGTTATAACCAAGGTTAAACTTGTTTAAAAGTGGGTAAAACTCAAAGACCAAAAAAAAAAATTATATCCTTAGAAAGATCTTGGCACAATTAAAACACATGTAAAGTATAAAAGCCATATCACCGAATATTCGAAATGGCCAAGAATAAAATAAAGTCTGATTTTCTTTTCTTTTTTTTTTCTTTTTTTATCCTTTTTTTTTTTTTTTTACAAGAGTGGGTCAATTACAATCTACAAGGTCTAGGTAAAAAGGTCGAATATGTTGTTACCCAAAGGAAGGACTTGTCACAAGAAATGCACGCCATATGAAATCTGAAAGTCATAGCACCATCCAGTCAAAAGTTATGGCCAAGGGTTAAATTTTTTTTTTTGCGGACAAATAGATGGACGGACAAGACAAAGGCTATGTACCACGATTCTTTTATAAATTCATTTTTATTGGTTTCGGTGTTAAGTTCCTTTGGAAAACAAGATCCATCAAGGCTGATGTGGATCTGCCGGAATGATTTAAATACATGTAGTTTTTATGCCCCCGTAATCGAAGATTCGGGGAATATTGTTTTAGACATGTCCGTGCGTCTGTCTGTCTGTTTTTCTGTTGTCTGCAAAAAAAACTTTTACCTTGCTCATAACTTGTGAGTGTGATGGGCTATTGCTTTCATATTTCACATTTTTTTTTCCTTGTACATGACCGACCTTTCTTTAAGTACTACCAAGGTGACCTCTTGACCTTGGAGTTTAACCCGCTTACAAAAAATTATCACATTTTAAGCTTGGTCATAACTTTTTAGCAGTTGGTACTAAAGCTTTAATACTCCACAAGTGTGTTCATTATGACAAAACCTTAGAGTTTGACCCACTTTTTAAAAACTTTAACCTTGGACATAACTTTTATATAGTTAAAATCAGAGCTTTTAGATTTCTTGTGGCAATACCTCATTTTGGGTACCAACAATTTTGACCTTAAACCTTGACCTTTGGAGTTTGACATGCATTTGAGAAAATTCAACCCTCGCCATAAGCTGCCATACAAACATATCTTTGTTTTTTTTTTAATTTACAGTAGTGATGAAGGTCATTGCACACCTGGTAGTACTGACCACAATTTGGTGTCCCTATGTGAGCAGTACTAAAACAGGAAATTCTACCGTCACATGTAAGTTATTTTATTACATTTTCTGATGGAGATTTATAGTACATATTAGTCAGTACATATATCTCGTAATGTCTAGTTTTGCTGATAGAAATTCTAAAAGCCGTTTGCAATAAATTTAGGCTAATTTAATTCCATGACATATTCATATCTTGTTTAAAATTGGTTCAAAATTCATTTCCAGTACATATGTACACGAATTTGGCAATTTTTAATATAATGGTAGGTAATGGGGTGTGTCCCCTCCTTTGCGCATGCAATGAACCACTGAACAGTTTTGTTTCGAAATCAATGAATTTGGAAACTAGTAAAATATTAGCCAATTAAAAAAAGATTCGAGAAAATGTTAAGCTAAAATGTCATTTATGATTGATATTTATTTCATGACCTTTATATATTACTTTATTATTTAAAATCTGAAAATAAGCAAATTCAAAGAAAAGAATCCCTCGCTTTCGGTGTCTTATTGGATTGAATGTCATTATGCCCTAGCATATGTCATTCAAAAGTAATCACCAAAATTAAATGTTGTGGTAAAAAATCTGAAATACTAGAAAACATCTTGTCACGGGTAATTCAAATGCCAAAAAATATAAAAGCCCAATTTCTTTTCAATAACATTTTGGAAAGTAAGTTAAACGTCAACGTCAAGGTCACGAGGTCAAAAGTCATGGTATATTTAGAAAAGGTGTTGTCAAATTTAATTAAGATATTCAATACAAAAGCCCTGTCTTATCTCTTTCAAAAATTATCACTGATTAAAAGAAAAGTTAAATTTTTGAAAAGGAAGTCAAACTTTAAGGTCAAGGTCACAGGGTAATAGAATATTTGGAAAGGTCTTGTCACAGGTAATGTACCTGATGAATATGAAAACTACTAGTATATCTCTTCTGATTCAAAAGTAATCACCAAAGTTAAAGTTTTTTGTGACAGACTGACAGACGAAAATGCGAAAGCGGGGAACAAAAATCAAAAATAGGGATGGGGGTTATATATGTACAATGTACATGTAAAATAAAAATATATCATATACCGTCGGATCATAATTGTTTGCGGAAGGAGGGGGTGTTACGAAATAACATAGTACTATAGTAAGCTTATGAATTATTACTTTGTTACTTGTTCAAATAAAACAACACATCCATGCTATTTGATATTGTAGACATATTCGGGTTCAAATGCTACTTGGGACACCAGCGATTGGACGTCTCTTCTGTCGTGTATATCCAGTACGACGGGGAACCAATTCTTTGTGATGAAATCTTTTTTCTTGGACAAGATGCAGCCAATGGAAATGCATTACAGCTGTGTCTGACGCCTGTTTATTATGATGATCCCTACTGTGAGATATTTATAGAGTACAAATCCTATCTCACCGGGCAAATACTACAGGTCAGACTAACAAGACTTGAAGCTCACCAGAGCCGAAGACTTCATTAAGTTAATCAAAGTAATGATTAGGGAATATATGGGGACTTATCGTTATAAATCTTTTTCAGTATTTACTTTCAACTTAACTGGAATATATACAAGACATACAGAAAATCTTTAAAAATCTTTTTCCAAGTAGATTAATTTATTGATTTATTTTGTCCCTCTCGTGAATTTTTCACTCAAATGGAGAAGCCACCACTTTCTGGTGGAGGCCTGCAAATTTTGTCCTATACTCGGTACCCAGAGCCATGCATTGAGTAGTGAGGGATCTTTTTCGTGCCAGCATCTACTGCGACACGGGGCCTCGGTTTATACGGTCTCATCCGAAGGACCGGTCTCCACATCCCACATTGGGATTCTAACCGCGACCTAAGGATCGATTCCTTACTTCGCGACTCTAGAGCAGTCGCTCTAACCGCTGCGCTAAAAAAACATCATTATATGCAAGCATTTTTGTATTACAGACTCTTTATTAAAATCATTATCTCTGGGATAATGTGTGACCAGAATAAAGGAACACTTTTTACAATGGTATTTGGGGGAAATCTCCAAAATCTTCATTTCATGAACAGAAAACCCTTGATAAGTTGCATGCAGCCTCAGGTATGGTGCTGAATAAAAGTAGATCATATACCATAATGTTGAAATATATGGAGATAAAGAACAGCATTCAAATTTAAAAGTCCATTAAACATTACACACAGTGGAGCCTCATTTATCCGGACGCTCTGGTTCCCAGTCAAATTATCCGGATATGTAAAGTGTCCGGATACCTGAATCACTAGTTATCTGAAGGTACATTGTATAAAATTGATTAGAGCAAACACGGATCTTTAAAAGATCAAAGGTCTGATCAGGTGCCATGGAGTACTCAGTAGTGAGCATCCAATGCCGATCGGTCACACCCACCGTGTGCTTCTTGTCATGATAGGGAAATGACAGAAAAATCCGTCGACAATTCAATGGCTAAACAAAGAGTAAGAAAAACGTCATACATCTAGCATTTGATTTAACGATAGACTGTATTTGCTGACAATGTATCGACCATATACACTGTAACTAACGAAAGGATGACTTTACACGAGACTGCTGAAATTCTTGTTTCATTACTTTTTTGCCAATAACTTGCACCTCGTTTTAGAAGCTGTTCCTACGTAAAGCATGCTCTTGCGTATCGAATCCACTGCGAGATATAAACCCCGTATTAATGTGATAAATGTGATATATTGCTGCATAAGAAAGCTGGGGAATTTGACGATTGAACATCTTAAGTCATCACTTTTATCCTAAAAATTTATTATTGAAATAACAACTATCGTCTTTTTCTAGTAAATTATCCAAATATGAAAAAGATGTGTCAGACTCTGTGTCATCTTTTATTTCAACCTTTCCGGAGTATATTGTTTCGACATAAGAATGGAAACAAGCATCGTTAATTGACATTTCTCCTTCACAACTGGTTTGGTAGAGGCCATAACCGAATTTAAATTCAAACGTTCAATTCAAAATTAAATCCAACCAACAAATCATAAAGGAATAATGGTCTTTTAGATGCTTATTTTCCCCTTACTTTTTTAACTACATGTAATTTTAAAGTTTGCATTTTAGAAGGTATATATATAGACCCCCCCCCCCTTCCGAAAATTTCCTGGATTTGCTTTTGGTTTCTTGTCTCTTTTAACTTAAAGCATCCCTTTTCTAGATCCATCCCCATATTATCTACTTTTCTTTATAATTTCTCCTTGTATATAGACTTTAAGATGCAGGGACAACAAAACAATCACTTGGTGTTCAGAAGAAACAGATAATTTGTCTGTCGGAATCAAGATGGAGTCGTTTGTTCGACAGAGAACAGCAGCTCGGCTCAAAATGAGGCTGGAAGCCAAGCCAAAAACACACAGAGGTATTAGTTACATTTCTTGTCTTTTACTTTTACGTTATGGAACGTGAACAAGAGTTGCCCCTGAACAAAAACTCGTGGAAAGAAAATAAAATTTATCACCACGAAATAAAATTTGAAACAACTTTTTAGTGTGCTTGAATTAAGTACATGTATTATAATTGCTCAACACTGCAAGAATTATGTCCATTTTAAACCCCAGAAAAGCACATTTTCTTATTGTACTATCAGTGTCACTTAAAAGTATAAACTAATGCGTTTTCTTGAAAATGTATACATGTACATAAAATAATGCGTTTTAATATTGATAAACACATATTTCACTTTCAACATATACGTCCTTGTAGATTCTTATACCTCCCATCCAATCCCTACCCCCCCCCCCCGCCCACCACTTTACATACACACCCTCCCTAATACACAGCACACACAAATTGAAATCCTGAATCTGCTTTGTTTTTTGTATCATCGAATTTTTTTGTATCATCAAACTTTTTTTTCAAACATTGTCTTTAAAGCATTCTGAAAATTAATAGATTGTTGTTGATCATCTGTTTCCTTTTTTTGACAGCTGAGGAAGAAGACGAAGACCCGAGTTTTGATTTGGCTCCATTGTTTGTAATTCTTGGAATATTCATGTTGCAAGTTTTCATATTTCTTGTCATTTTTGGATTTGCCAAGCGGACTGTAAGGCAAATTCGACCATCGGTGGGTAAAATAGATCTGCTTTAATCTTAAAAGATATACAAGTCCAGTAATTTTTAATATTTATACTCAGTATGTACTTTTATAGTATATACACAATATATAGATTAATATGAGATTCCATAGCTCTTCAACCGTTTTTAACAAAACACAAAGATAAAAGTTTGTAAAAATATGCATAGCTAATAAAAGAAACACAATTTAAACTTGAAGTACGGTGAGCAGTGAGCTCACTAAATGATACCCCCACCTCCTACATGTGTATAGTAATACGATAATAATGGCAAATTCCATATTTTGCTCGGGGGGGGGGCATAAAGGCATGGCATTGTATGAATCTGTGAAAGTATCATTAAATTTTATTCAGTGGTATAGGAGTTACGGATAAGAGATGGGTACCCTTCGATGTTATGGGATGAAGGACAGGTCCATGTTTCGCTTTGAGAAACTCGAAATATATGTCCGAACACAAAAAGGAGGTGCACAGTGGCACTAACAAAGATTCTGTGAAAGTCTCATTATTAATTATATTGAATTTCATTCAGTGGTATAGGAGGAGTTGCGGATAAGAGATTGGTACGTCAAAGTGGAACAGACAGACAGACAGTACAGAAAGATGGACGGACACGGGGGGGGAGGCTGGTTATAAAAATACATACCGGTATGTATTGACGGTCATTTTTTCAGGTGTAATAAATTACTAGTTTCAACTCTTCGTCTATTTAGAGTTATATAGTGAGAATATCTTAATCAATGTAACAAATACATGTATAAACTAGAGGTACTGTGAGCAATGAGCTCACTAAATGATACCCCCCGCCTCCCATAATGTCGATGTGTTGCTTTATATTGTTTACGGTAATGTGTAAAGAGGAATAACTCGTCCTATGAAATTTTATCCAGAAGCTTCTATTATGTGACGTCATAGGTAAACAAAAAATGGCAATGTGCATGTTTTGCTCTGGGAAACCTAAAATACGTGTCGAATAAAGATTTAAAATAGGAGGTGCACAATGGCAATATGTAATAAAGATTCTGTGAAAGTTTCATTAAATTTCACTCAGTAGTATAAGAGGAGTTGCGGATAAGAGAAAGAGCGTAACAGACGGACGGACGGACGGACGTACAGACGGACGGACAGACGGACGGACGGACGGAAATCCCGATCACTATATACCCTCCCGCTTTGTCATTTTTTTATGAAGAGGGACTAGTGGTGCTCTTATACATATGTTATTGACTTTTTTCGATCATTTGATTTTCTGTATGATTTCCTCATTGTGCTTAATTTGGTTTATAATATTGAACTTATCTCTATCACGTTACATACATGTCTCTATTACGCATCGTCGCAAACCACGGCCAAAATGTACGCTCCTATCCGTATAGGAGAGAGCTATATATGCGGACTCCAGACCGTGGCTTGAGACGATGCTATTACGTTACATACATGTAGCTTAGAAATAAAATGTTCTGTTGTGTTTTGTAGCTTGAAGAGGGTGCCTATGCACTACAACTGTAACAGATTTTTAAGCCCGCAATTGTTTGACTCTCTTTTTTGCTTGAATGGTTCTATTGCTTGATTGAATGATTTTAATTTACATGTACCCTGAAGCATGACCAGGCTGGACAGGGCCTGTAATAAGGTGAACATTTACTCAAATTACGCTGATGGCTCAACGGTTAATCATTAAACACTGTCCATTCAAAAAACGCTAGTGGAAAACCATGGTTAGTGGAGTAGAACCATGCAACAAGTAAAGATTTGAACAAAACACCAAAAGCGAACATTTATTTGCAATAAGAAAATATGAAATAACGGGTAAAGCGTAGAAAAAGGGAGTCATTATGCAGGTGCCTTTTGGTTATCATTCAACGCCACGATACAATGCCTAAACAGGACAAAAATTACGAAAGCCGCACATGTTACTATTCATAACGGTACCGCAAATAATATACAACTGCCAGGAATCGAATTCAAGCTTACATATGTTCCTTGCAAATTAGTAAACATATAAAATATATTGTTCTCCAAGCATATAAAATTAAATCTGCAAGCATTAAAATGAATGCAATGATCAAATTGTGAATTGGGTAGCAATATTTTTTGTTGTTTGAAGTTATCGACCTTATGATTTTAAATGACGTTCATTTTTTGCAAAAGTAAACAATTCTGCCAATTCCAGTTTTAAAGAAAAAAGATCAAGAATTAACGTTTTATAAATTAAGTTTTTATAACGATGAAACTTTGCTATCTAAATTAGAATAAGTATTTATTCCATTATTTTTATTTTTAAAAACTTTGAAAAATCGAATTTTTATGCATATACAATGTATATAGTTTATTTCACAGATCTTTAAGTAACTGAGTCAAAAGAACAAAAAAAAAAAAATAAAGAAAGAGAGAGTGAGATTGTGGGGAGATAGAAAAAAGAGTGTGTGGAGAGAGAGAGGGAGAGAGAGTAGAGAGAGAGTGGGGATAAAAGTGTAGAAAGAGAGGAGAGTTGGGTGTGAGGGAGAAAGAGTGGAGGGGAGTGAGAGTGGGGAGAGAGATGCACATGTAGTGGGGAGAGAGATGCACATGTAGTGGGGAGAGAGAGAGAGAGTGAGCGAGAGAGGAGGAGACAGACTGTGTGTAAGAGGGAGTGGAGAGGGAATATAGGGATAGGGTCAGAGTGGGGGTTAGTTAGATGCAGAGTGGGGATACAGAGGAGATGTAATTAGGAAATAGTGGAAAATGGAGGGAGAAATAGCAAGAGTGGAAAGAGATACTCCCGCACTTGCACTTGGAGATCCTGGAATTGTATTCAACTGAAATGTACATTATTGTAATGATCGCTACCATCTTCCCAAGTCAAGAGTTTCTGATCCGCTCGGCTCCACATAAACCCTTGACCGAATAGGATAAGTCTGACGGGGTTAGAAATGCGTTCTATGATTGGCCTCATGCAACTTTGCATTAACCAATCAAAATCATTGTTTTATTTAAACTGAAACTAAATCGTTAACATAAAACACGCCAGTTTTAGTCCCAAGGATAACGTCTTTATCATTAAATAGCAAAGTTAAAGGTTTGTCTCAGCTTTTTAGTTGAGTGATATTGAATATATAACCACTATCAATATTATCTCGAATTCTCTGTTGAATTCGTGTACTCTGATTGGCTAAAAACAGAGGTCAGTAGAGTTCAAAATGTGTAATCTCACTAGATGGAGTGACAGTAAACCCCGTCAAACTTAGCCTATTCGGAGCGGAGCGGATCAGAAAGTCTTGACTTGGGAAGATGGATTGCTACATAATTGAAAATGTCCCCATTCCCTGCATACTGAGTTTATAAAAAAGATGCGTGGTAGTAAAGAGATGCCCACTCTCTCTCCTCTCGCACTATCAATACCTCTCTACCACACTCTCTTCACTCCGCACTCTCTCCAGTTCATATCTTCCCTCCCCCCTCTCTCTCTCCCCACTCCAACTCTTTCTCCTTGCTCCCTCTCTCCTACCTCCCACTCTCTGCACCTCTCTTCTCTGTGCCCACTCTCTCTCTCTCTCTATCCCCTCTCCTAATATCTCTCTATATCAAACACAGATTTCAGCTCAAATTATCAGTAAGCATATATTTAATTATATTATAGTGATCGGGATGTCCGTCCGTCTGTCTGTACATCCGCCCGTCCGTCTGTTACGCTTTGGGATATCTCTTATCCACAACTCCTCTTTTACCATTGAATTAAATTTAGACTTTCACAGAATCTTTTTTACATAGTACCATTGTGCAATTTCTATTTTACTTGTTGATCCGACACATATTTCGGGTTTCCCATAGCAAAACATTGACACTGCCATTCTTTCTATAATAATGCAGGGTATTCATCTCTTATCCGCAACCGCTTCTGTACCACTGAATAAAATCTAACTATACTTTCACACTC